GACGTGCAAAGGCATCAGCGATATGCTGCGGATCGACAGACTCAGGCAACGTATTGGTGAACAGCACGAAAAGAGTCTGCCCGTGCGCAAAAACATCGCATTGTACCCAATGACGTCCAACCCGGAGAGGCACAACAATGTCGGTAAATCCAGTGAGTGGCACTTGGACACCTGAAATAGACCGAAAGGCTGCAGACTGTGTGTCCCACACAAGCGGATTGATGAACAATGTATGGGAGGCATACGGTCGAAGGAGGTCGAGGGCAAAATCGATTTCATCGCTCGCAGCCCAGGTGGGCTCGCAGCGGAAGTCTTCGAGCCTGCGATTGAGATAGTCGAGCAAGTGACGCGGTGTCTCCCCGGAGAAGGGGGACACAGTGGCAGCTCTTGCATCCGGGTTAATCTCAATCGAATGAACGTTGGTAGATAATGGCATCGTGACAGCCGAAGACACTGCTGTGGTAGACCTGGCAAGAAATGCAAGTACCCGGGTTCTGCACTGCGATGCGAAGCGAATGAGCAGTGGACTGGCGCCCGAAGCATGCCAGTCCTCTTGGCTAGCCTCAATTGCAATTTGAATTGCTTGTAGTTTGGCCGGAGGAATGGCAGTGAGGTCAACAGGATCACTCCAATCTTCAATCGGGAGCATTGCACTCCAACGCTGCAAGAGTGTCCACCCACACAAGTTGAAAATCTGTTCAGGCCATACTTCCGTAACTGTGAGGTGCGAAGGATTGACATCAAAGATCTTTGCCAGAATCTGGTGCAGGCGCACTTGCAGTTCCGACGGAACCTGACCAGCAAAACTTGAATGACTTCGGCCAGGCGAATCACCTCAACTCCAGCCCAGTGATTGTCGATCAACAATGGCAAAATGGAGATGGTGTTGTTCGGAAAGCCAAACTGCTGACCATCACAAGGTACAAGCTCATTGATCCGAGTGTCCCAAAAGACAGGGACAAGAAACTGAATGTTCGGAGTGGACCAGTTGAAGATGGATGTGATGTGCCAAACCTCATCTGTCGCAGCCCATCCATCAGTGTTGGCCGCAAACTCACACCGCTCCCCAAATGTAGCTCCAGGAAGAAGGGCACATCTCTTTTTGCATACATCATGCACCCCTCCAGCTCTGACTTGGTGGTGCGGAAGGACAAATACATCTCCATCGATGGGAACCACACCCGGTTCAAAGGGCAAACCATTGTGTAGCTGGCATGTGGATCGAAGAGTGGAGCCTGTGACAACTGCAAAGTCAGAGGTGCCAACTGGGAGAGGGATCTCATGAAGGACGGTGGCACTGTCGTCAAAGCCTTCTTGGTCACGGTCACGCAAAATAAATCCACGAGTTCCCGTCTTCCAACGAAAATTCTTGTGAAGCGAATAATCACAGCACGTTCCTGAGGCACAAGGGAGCTAAAAGCTGCGCGAATGCGTGTAGTAAATTGAGATTCCGTACCATCGAAGGGAGTATATGCCCAAAGATTGGAACCGGCAACAATGACAAAAGTACTGCCTGGATAAGATGTCACACAGTTGAGGTTCTCCAAATTCTCAATAGCCTTGGTGAAGAGCAAGTCGGTAGGGTCAAAAGGCCCAAAGGGCAAACTTGGTATACCCCCAGCCAAGGATGGTGGGCCCAAGGCATCATCCTGCTCATCAAGAAGGAGAGTGGGCGTTGAAGGCTCAACCCATTGCACCAAGCACAAATGGTAACCACCAAGGTAGAGATCACATTCCTTGTCATGAGCAAGGAACTCCAGTACCAAGTCGGTGGGTGCTGGCGTGGCTGAGAAATGTTCAACTCTGATCTGCATCATGAGATGTGGTTGCAACTGGAACAACAAAGCACCAAGCTCACGGAAAATTCAGGCGCCACCCAATCTCAATGGGGAATACCTCCTCAAGGAAAGTCACCCTGGCATTCGGTGCAACGACATGGAACCTGGGCTTCGGCAAGGACAAAACGAACTGCACAACATTCCGGATCCAGACGTAGTCCCCTTCGACAATGAGGACGGTGACATCGGCATGGATGCGGCTCAACCAACACTTTCGAATGCACTCTTGGATAGGAAGAGACTGCTTGGTGATGGACGACAACATGACCAAAATGCCAAGCAGGGCGTGAGGGACACTGATGGCATTGCCAATCTGCTGAAAGGCATGTGTCAAATTGAGTGGAATCGCTATATCAGTCACCGTTCCTAACAACGCGACAAAACGAATCGGGTCGAGAAAAAGGAATTCCCCTTCATGCTCAATGAGACTGGCATAGATACCCTTGCGTGGAAGATGGTTGCGATCAAGATTGTGCTGCTGTGTATACGAAGAGCACAAGGTAGCTAAAGGTTCATGTGGCAAAGGAATCCGGGCACGAGCAACCTGCAAAGCAGTAACTGATGGTTGAACCCTTGCTCGCTTTCCAAGTGGCAGCAATTGGAGTTCACCATACGTCAAGAATTGGTCCGGTGAAAGCTTGAGCTGGTGCTGCACTTCCTGGGGCAGGCAAAATGTATATCGTGCATCATGCCATGGAACAATGGGTGGAACCATAAGTTTAAACAGGTTGGTAACCTCAGTCGCCGGGACATCAGAGCGAACCCAGAGGGCAAGCCAACGGTTTCTGTAATGGTGGGCCAAATAATGGTAGGGAATCACTTGCCCCCAGGCTTGCTTAAAACCTAACAAGGTCATGAGTGCACCGAAAACCGGAAAATGATGATGAGCTTTGATCTCATCAGCACATTCAAACAATGCCGCAACCGGCTGGGTTGCGAAAAGCATTTCAATGCCTTCAAGCAAAGCAAGACCGTGGGTGGAGTCCAATCCCCCACCAGCACCACCTTTGGACCATGAAACACACGGTGGGCTCAAAGTGGCGACCAAGTTGAAGGGCATCCGGACCGTGTGCAGGACTGTAAGGTCGGATACAGCAGATTCCACAATGATCTGCTGGCGGACCACGAACTCGCTGCATGGCTCAAGGGGTGCTTTTACAACCAGCGCATCGTGATTCATAGCACAAGTTCGCACCACCTTCGGATCCCAATCAACAAACACGTGTCTGTCGATGATGAAGCCAATGTTGTCCGACTGCAGCCATTCGGCTGCCTGAGCCCACCCACCATAGCCTCCTGCAAAAAGATGCAGGATGTTCCAGTGGAATTCGGCAGCAATGGCCGGATAGTGAACAATTGTCGCCCCTTTCTGAAACTCGATCATGCAACCATCCTCTGAGCGGTGCTTGAGAACACCTACCACGAGAATTCGTTCATCCTTGCAGACGAGAGGATACCTGTTGTCAAGGCCAGGAACCCGAACAGCTGCATTATGGGCTTGGTGCCCATCCCAATGTAGACCTGTCCGATGGTGGAAGGTACATAACGAACCATGGATCTTGTCCGCATGTACAGCGTCCACTGTCAAGGCCACCATCTTGCGGTAGCCAATTGTCCAACAAGTGGAGCAGTCCGGGAACTGGTTGAACACGGCCTTCACTTTACGATCCAGCTCAGTATCACGCAAAGAAGCTCCCCAAGGGAAAGCCGCCATGAGGAACCAACGGCGTGGGCGAACGAAAAGGACAAATGACCTCAGACACTGGGTGGACCCACGGGGGTGGGTCCTTTGTAGACACCGGACCCCACGTGGCCGTGGCAGCCCGGTCCTGGGGACCCTGAACGCTCCCTCAGGCCAAGGCCTTTGAGCCAGAGGCCTACTAGGGGCTCTTGGCATCGCTACTAGGAGCACGGACGCTACTAGGGGCTCCTGGCCCTACTAATAGGAGCATCCTTGCTACTAGGAACAAGAAGCTACTAGCGGCCAGTCGTGTGAGGTGAATCTCAGTTAAGATCTCTTGAGACATTTTGAGACAAAGTTCGCACAGAGGCCTGTGATACCGAATGAGTTGCCACCCGTGCCCCACATAGCTCGGCAATTTGAGGCCGGTGTTCTCTGCTAGTAACAAAGGGCATCGCTACTAGTAGCAACAAGAAGCTAAAGATATCTTTTTGTGCTACTAGTAGCGATGCCCGGGTTCCAAGTAGCGATGCCAGGAGCTACTAGTATACTGTTCCGAGTAGTGTTTGGGTTTGGGGTCATGAGACTCAACAGAGACAGTGAGACCAATGCATGCTGAAGCGTTGTCCGCGCACCATGACCCTCTCAATTTGGAGGCTTGGAGAGCCCCAGACAAGCTGCAATGTTTGGTGCAACTTGTGCAACCTTGTTGAGTCCAAGTACTTGCTAAATCATTTAAAGTCATCCAAAGTCTTTATATAAAGTGTTCACTTATCTCTTCTGGCTCTTCGCACTTGTATGTCCCTGAAGGTGGGCCAAGTGGTGGAAGGCCCCGTGAGGCGCACAAAATCAAGTTTGGTCTTCCAGCAACTAGGGGTATGGGTCCAGCCTGGACAACCCAAATTTGCTTATGTTGGCCCGTAGCAATCCATGCCGGGGGTTGCTAGTAGCTTGAGTGATGTATCTTCAGCGAAAGACTGCTTGCTTTTGCTTGGTTCACATTCTTGCTAGGGATGTCTGGAGGAGCTTTGCCTTCATTGACATTGGAGCAGAACGGTGTGGCCCTTTGCACAAGATAGGTGTCGGGTGCAAGCTTCACTGTGTTAAGCAAAGAACTGTCCAGCTATCTTGCTTTGTGTGGCACAGACCCTTTGCAGGTTGACAGGAGATGTTGAGTGGCATTTGGCAATCACAATGTTTGCATGATTTGGCAGAAAGATAAGGATGATTTGTATATTGATGTTGTTTTTTTCAAGCAGCCTTTCCAGTTCATTTGAACCATGTTTGCTAAATGTTGTGTTTTTAGCATATCTTCAACATATTTGCATCTTTGGCATTTGTGCTTTGCCATGGGTTTTCTTCAAGCTGTTGGCGCTAGCATTATTTGTTTTTCATTCCAGCGATGTGCAAGCTTTTGCCCCAAGGGCTTTGGGGGCGGAGCATTTCCATCAGAATACCAAATTCCTTCTTGGCCAGAAGACATGCCATTTGAAGACAGTGCGAAGCTTCGCACAGTGTCATTGGGAGGCTTCAAAAATGTGATGCTCAATGAAGAATACTTGGAGGGCCCCAACTCTGACTTCTTGATGCAAGGGCGGGAGACCTACTGGCAAGCATCTGGCCAGTACTTCATGTATTATTGCCAACGCTTCCGCAAGTGGCGCATTGCTGAAATCAGTGCATTCAGCAGGAATATGGATGGCCAGTGCTTTGCTTTTGTCTCAGATGCATATCCACATAGAGATATTTTGAACAAGACCATGCTGAAGGGCTTTATCGAGGTCGAAGATGGAGAGTGGGTCAGCAGAGAAGATGCTGGAGTGGTAGCTTTGGGGAAGCTAGGAGATCAAATGGATGTAAGTGAAGATGAAACCGAAGACGAAGTAGCAGAGTCAGAAGGCTCAGGAGACCCAGAGACTTGTGCGAATGCAGGGACGGAGGAAGCACCGGCGGCGGACTCCAAGTGCCCAGTCATGCCAGTTGTCAGGAAGGCCCGGGACAAAGCTTTGCAGGTTGCAAAAGCAGCGGGAAAATGGGCTCGAAGGCTTTTCCCGAAGTATCTGGGAGCCCCTGATGAAGATGATGTAGATGCAGATGATGAACATAATCCTCTTTTTCCTTCAGGCAATTGCGAGATCAAAACTCTAACCGGCTGCAACTTTAAGGAGCAGTTTTTCCTCCAAAAGCAGCGAAACCGAACTTTGGAGGAACAACGAGCAGAGATGCAGCGACTGCAGACCATGGAGGATGTTGTGATGAAGCCAAACCAAAAGGCTTGGCTGACAACACGTCTCAGCATTCTCAAACAACTCATTGAGGTAGATGATGAGTCCATGTGAGTGACTTCGAAGAAGTCACAGTGTAAATAGCTGGCAAGGCAAACTACGCAGCAGATGCTGTGATGTTGTCAGTCAAACCGCTTTCAAAAAGTGCAAAGTGCTGAATGCAGTTTGCGTAAGACTGTTTGGCGTTTTGCTGTGTAGACCACAGTGCTTAATTTAGAGACGAGACAAATGACTACAAAGCCACGATATGTTCGATGCCCCAGGGATGCTAAACTGGAGCTCAGCGAGCTGGAAGATGGATTCTCAGGAAAGTCTCTCAAGGCCAGGATGTTTTAGGAAAGTCAACGCTACTACGGGCTCCTGGCCTTACTACTAGGAGCAAGAAGGCTACTAGTAACAAGTGCATCGCTACTAGGAGCAAGGGCCTTACTAGTAGTAACAAGAAGGCTAGTAACTTGGAGGTCACAACTTTCGCTGCCCTACGAAGCTCGGAAAGCTCAGATTGCTCGATGAGGCTGTCCTCTTTAGGGAGGAACTGGTGCAGTCACGCGTGCTCGAGGTCAGTCAAGTTTTCTTAAACAGCTTCTTGCTGAGCTCAGCTGGCGTCTTGCTGAGCTCAGCTGGTGCACAGGTCGGTCAGAACGGAGCCATTTGGCTAACCCGACGTTCTGGGTCTTTGTCCCGCCCACCGCGCCTTAGTAAGGAGGAGCGTTGTGGACCATTTTACAATTGTTCACCTTTAGCATCCTTTAGCTGCAAAGCTTTAGCTGCAAAGCCTTCAGCTCGTTTTTCCATGTTTTTTTCTTTCATGTCAGGAGGAAAGCCGCGCTCCTGATGCGCTTGAACGCTTGCCCTCAGACATGTGGTTTGATGGGCAGGTGGGTGACTTTTTGCCCACAGGTGCGGGTTGCAAGCCCAAAAGGGTTTGTGGTAGGTTTGTTTGTTCGAGATCGCGGATTATTTGGATCTTGACTAATTATTGTTTTTTAATTAAAGATGATTAAAGTTGATGTTAAAAGTATATAGATTGCTTTAGATGCTTTAAAGTTTGAGTTCCGACTTCTTTAATGTGCTAAGCAGCTGCAACTCTACTCCAGTGCCAATGCTCGCAGGTGTTTTTGTGCATGTGCTAAGAGATCCTCGCGAGAAGCCACTTTTGGGCTTTTTGCCATCATTCCTGTTCGAAACAGGACTCCAATATGAGCATGCGGTTTCTGCTGCTTAAGCTCTCGGCTGGCATTGGTAGGATTTGAGCTGGAAGCAATCCGTGGAAAGAGAATCAAAGTCAGAAAAGAAAGCCCAAGTCTTAAACTCGCGCCGGTGCTGCGTTTTCCAACATTTGCATGGCTGGTAATGGGCAAAGGCAGCTACTCCTCCTTCAAAAGGTGGATCTTAATAAGATGTTTGGAGATGATGGGTTGCTGTATCAGAGAGGGACTACAGACCCAGCTGGCCAAGGCTTCAATCCTGGGAAAGGTTTGCTGTTAACTATGCAGAAGACCTAGAATCTGGGATAAAATCTTCGGAGATCTTCGGAGCGGAGCAGAGCCTTTTTTGATGACCTGATGAACTTGATGGAATAAGTTGCCTTGAGCAAGATTGACTTGTGTGTGTGCTTTGTGATCCATTGTATGCACTGCTCAAGTCTGGGCTCATGCTTAGTTACCTCACGCGTTCTCCGCATTTTCTGCCCAGCGTGAAATGCTTAGGGCACAACCTGAAAAGGTTGTTCTGTGCGTCCAGCATATTGGACGAAGTGTGCCTCCATTCCGCTGAAGTTCACACTTCAGCCAAAGGTTTTCAATCCTCACGGGTTGACTTTTGGAGGCATTTGCTCAGACATGCAGAGTTCTATTGCCGAAACCAGGATCAGGGCAGCTTGGCAACGACTTTGGGACCTCCGTGCCCTATGCTGAACTACATGCACCAGCATGGCTGCAGCATTCGCAGCAAGTTGGTTCGCCATGATGGTGGGGCAGCACTTGGTGGGGGCAAAATTGTCCTTGCGCTACCCGGTCAAAAGCAGGTAGAAACAGCAATAATCATTAAATTTGGACGTTCACGCCAAGAAGACAAGGCTACAATTTGCGTCTCATCTCAGGCCGGTTGTGCTATGGCCTGCCGCTTTTGTGACACAGGATTACTAGGTTCAGAGGGTGGTACTGGTGGTATCAATCTACCAGCATGGGCCATTCTTGAGCAGGTTCTTTATGCTCAAGCGTGGTTGCAGCGGGAAGGTATATTTGGGAAAAGCAATGTTGTTTTTATGGGCATGGGCGAGCCTCTCTTGAACTATTCCAATGTGCTTGGTGCAGCTCGACTCTTGTGTGCCTCAGATCACAAGACCACAATTTCCACCGTGGGGGTCGTGCCTCGCATCCAGAGTCTGGCCAAAGATGCACCCGATGGACTTCGCCTCGCAGTCTCTTTGCATGCTCCCTCACAAGAGTTGCGAGAAGAGCTTCTGCCAGTGGCGGCAAAGTCCTGGCAATTGGAAAGTCTATTGTTTGCAGTGAAATGCTTTGAAGAGTCTACAGGTTCTGGGGTGCTCTTTCAGTACATACTCATTCGAGGTGTAAATGACGGAACTGAGCATGCATCCATGCTTGCGAGCCTGATTGGCTCCCGCAAGTTAAGATGTGCTGGGATCAATCTTATTCCATACAATTCAACAAATGCCGGGGCTGCATATCAGTTTCAATCCCCATCCGACAGCACATGCAAACGTTTCAGGGATACACTGCGACGCTTGGGTGCGCCAAACGTCACTGTTCGATTTTCAACAAAGCTTGGTCGGGACTGGGCTTCTGCATGTGGCCAGTTAGGGCTAAATACTTCCCGCCCACTTGAGACAGCCTAGCAGCTACTGGTACGGAGCGTTGTAGCTGTGGCCCAAGAAGATCCAACAAGATCTACGGCGATAAGTGACAATGTGACAATAAGCACTTTGGACTTGCAGTGAAAGCAACAGCAAAGTTCTGATTGAATCTGTAGCTACTCACTACTACTGATGACGCTCCTGTCTGGCAGCCAAAGTCTTGGACCCTCTGAAGTCAAGCACCCGGAATTTCAAGGTGTGTGCCTGCAATCCTTCATTCAAAGGCCAGGCATTTGTCTACTTGCTTTGGAACGCAAGAACGTGGTCCGAAGCTGTCAGAAACGTTCGTTCAGGTCTGGAGGTGGTGTGAAGCGGAAAAGCATGGCGTTGTTTAGAACACAGTATGAAACTTGTTTCACGTCTCTTGAACAAATCATTGCTGAGGGTCGTCCGTAAATGCACGTAGGCAAGGGATGTATAGAATAGACATTCACTTTGAGGGACAGTTTTAGTGAGAAGAACAATGTGGTGATTTTAAACTTCTGGGATGTACACTGCATTTGGTGGTGGACCTTTGGGTACGGCTACCAATGAAATTTGACTGTAACTAACCTTAATGTCATGCTTGTACTTTAGACTCTAGACCTCTCCTGCTTCACTTCTCTTCATTCAGAATATCCACGATTGGTGCGCGGAAAGAACGCGATTGGCCGCGCCTCCGGGAAGGATCCTTGCCATTCCTTGCCCATTGCCTATAGCCGTTTCCTAATTGTTTTGTACCTTCTTGATGTGTATTGCAGTGATTTTTTACGATGCGATATGTGATATGTCATGATATGTCCATATATGTTCAACAAACTAATTGTTCATGAAAGGCCACGTATGCTCCTGCGATTAGCCACTATGGGACTGCGATCGTATCGCGACAGGCTGACGATTGGAGGCTTTTCGGAAACAGTAGTTTAGGACAATGGAAGCACTGTATATAACTATGATTAATAGTCTCAGTGTCAGTGCCTCAGACGGTAATTAAATAGAAGCTCCAGGTGATGCTCGAGAGCATGTCCTAAAGCTTAAAGTTCAAGACATCAAGTGCAAGCAATTGGGAAGTGCGAAGCCATGTTTGACCTTGCTTCTTGTCCAGGATGTTATTGAGGTCTACGTTTCACTGGGGCAAACCAAGGGCAGTCCTCAAGAAGCAGTCAGTGTCATTCTGTGATTGTGAGCGCTTCAAGCAAGTCAAGGTCCAAGGAATGCCCAAAAATACCAAGTATAAAATTGGGCGGTTTCATGCTCGTCTCGGTCAGGTTTGGAATATGAATGCTGATGAACCAGTTTTTTTGGCTGCAAGCTGCTTACAGTGCAAGTGTGTTGCACCGCAGATCTCAGTTTTCGGACAGGGCGATGGCTGCCATGGCCAACACTCAAGATCAAAGCCGCACTGAGCACTTCATGCGTGCTCTCAGGGTAACAGTGGCAGCTATCTCTGGTGCAGGAACTGCAACGCTGCAAGCTCGACAGCTATTGATCACCAAAACCGCAGAACCCTACGGAGAAGATGCAGTTGTGGAAGCAACTACCGGCCTTGCAACCGCTTACTCTTTGGGAAGCGTGATTGAGTTCATCCTTAGCCCCTTGTTCGGGCGCCTATCAGATCGCTTTGGCCGCAAACCCTTGGTTCTGTTTCTAATGATTGGACCCGCTTGCATGCGCACTTTGTGTGCTGTGGTAAATCGACCTCGAGCCAGAATCCGCCTGCTGATTCTTTTCTGCATGTGAGTTTTGCACGTTGCTTTGGATAGTTTTAGCTTCCAGAATGAATGCTGCACCTCCTTGGATCCATTCAATCACCTTCCTTCTCTATATATCCGCTCAAGGCAAAGTCAGCCAGCTGTTTGTATGCCCCGGAGCACCACACCTAATCTCAAGACAAAGTGCACCACGTCACCAATGTGTCGCTTGACACAACCTAATGCTACTATCATCAAACATGCTTACAACGCACTAGGGGCTCCTGGTCTTACTACTAGTAACAAGAACGCTACTAGGAGCAAAGGGCATCGCTACTAGGAGCAAGGACGCTACTAGGGGCTCCTGGCCCTACTACGAGTAACAAGAAGCTACTAGGAGCAAACTAGGAACAACCTCATGCTTACAACGCACTGAACCCAACGGGCCCCACTGAACGCAAGGCAGTGCACAAGCCTCTCGTGAACCGTGACGTTGGGGTACGGTCATGTACGGTGAGTTTTCTGTCGTTAATTCTTTTGTGTCCCCTTTTTTGTTTTGCACATATTGCATATATTACGAAAGCCAGCCGATAGGCTAGGTCGCTGAGCAGGACCTTTTGACAGGGTGGACGTAGAGCTTGGTGGGGGAGAGCGCTCCAAAGCGAGGGTCCGAAAAGCAGTGAAAATGGGGTCTGGTGATGCGAGTGATGTAATGGACGCCGAGTAGTGCATCATTAGCATCATGAAGGGCTTTGGAGACTTTTTGACCCACGCAAGAGGGACCCACGTAATGAAGCGGCAGCTGGCTTTCGTCCCCCCTTCTCAAGTATATATAGGTGTTTATTGTATGCTGCTTGGGTCGACTGGGGTGCCGCCTTGTGCTTCTTGTCGACCCTGTGCCTGGCGGTTGAAGCCGCACAGGCGGAAAGATTGCATTTCCGCCCATGCCCTTAGCCAACGTCAACCAAGGTGGCTTGACTTTGCCTCCGCACGTGCCATTGGCAGCTGGGACGGATTTACGACTAGCGGGCCACAGCGAGGGGGGGTTGTTTGTAAAGTTGAAAACTGTTGATTCAGTCTCGGGCTCTGCCCTGAAAAGCAGGCAAAACTTATGCAAGCAACACGGCAGAGGCTGGTTTCCAGGAGTGATGGTGCTCAAGAGGTCTTATAACAACTATGCACCATAAGGGGGAAGAGGTCGAGTTTGGAAGAGGAGCATCTAGGCGATCTAGGCACGCGCAGGACTTCGCTAAGATATGACACAAAATGCATTTCATCTGCAGCATTTGAGCCTTTTGAGCATGGTAAGTTTGACCGTGGATGTGTGCGCAGTTTTTTCCCAGAGGTTGGTGGCATTGTATTATGTTTTGGGGTACTGGACCTCAGTCACAGCATTTACATACTGTAAGTAAGGCACATAAACCTAGGCATTTCTGAGCATATTTGCGATGTCAAGAACAGGATTCTATAACTGTGTGGTTGCTTTCTTTTGAACAATAGAGTAAGGTCAAGGCAGGGAATTCATTACACCTCTTCAGCTGGTACTGTGACCTTTGGATCTCTTTCTGTTGCCTTGTTTGATGAGACAATGCTGGTGCATTCGTGCATTCGCAGACTTATCCAGAAGAGTATGCAAACACAATGTTCAAATATTTTCAATCTACATACATGCATACACGACTCTCGAGCGGCCGTAGCCGTAGCATGTACTCTAGGTTCAGAGTACATGGTGGTGAGTGGTCCAAAAATCGACGTCGAGATGCCATCTACTTTTCCTCGTTCTGCTGCACTTTTTTCGGGGGTCAGACAGGAAAAAGTAGATGGCACCTGCCTGAGGTGCAGCCAAGTCCACATGTTCAAGCTCCATTTGATTGCCGCAGTCATATTACATTCACATGTCAAGGAAAAAGGGGTTTGTGACTATTGTTTTACTGTACACTATTCTGAGGGTGCTTGGCATTGACGCATGTAGGTTTCATACCTTGTGCGACAAAGACATGTTCAATGCACACATGGAAAACACATGTTACCACATGTTAACACATGTTACCACCTGCACCTACCTTTCCCTCCACCTTTTTCCTTGATGTTTTCAGCTATTTACAGCCATAATAGACATGTATTACAAAATCCATGTTTCCTGCAGCTTCACCACAACGGCGCACATACGTTGGGCTTCTTGCGGGAAGAATCCAAAAGGCGGCCCCATTGTTTATTAATTACACTATTGTCAAACCAGATGGCGCAAAAACATGTCAACAAATCAGGAGCGATAGGCATGGTATACACCCCCAAGAACAAAAAGTGACTTGGCACAGGGGTATGGTCCAAAGATAGGGCGGTGCCATCTATTATGTGAAATTGGCTGTGTTTTTGCTCCTATTTTAGGCACGGTGCCATCTACTAGCGTGAGGACACAATATGGAACAAAGAGAAGGGAGAGATACAGAGAGAGAGATGTCAAGAGACAAGTTCATTTACAATAGTTCATTTACTCTCGTACTGTTCATGTACAAACGGTGCCATACAATGCACCTTGGATCGAGGCCTTGAGCCTAAGGACAATTGCCAGAGGAAACAATACAGAGACGTGCGCAAACAAACGACAAACAAACAGCTGCTGAATTTTACATGGTAGCGGAGCAAGGATCCTGGTAACAACAATCCAGGTGAGCTCCAATACAACAACAGGCACAAGCCATCGAACACACACAACGGAGAGCAAGCCTTGACCCTACAATAGGTAGCTTGCACAGCTGCAACAATGGCAGCACAATCAGCAGCAGCTCAAGCTGGAGAGGGACTTCCTCCAGTTCCAGAAGATGAGACAACGGCCAACATAGCGAACATGAACAGATACAAACTCAAACCACCCTTTTTCAATGGAGACTATGGAACGTTCGAGGAATGGAAGTACAAGTTCACAGCATACATGGGATTGCAAGACAATGATTACACAGAACTACTACAAGCAGCAGAACGAGGCACAGCAGAACTCACAGAGGTACAACTACGAGCAGCGGCAACAACAATCGAGGATGGTGAACGACATGTTCGCCTCAGCACTGATTTGAGGTACATCCTCATCAACACAACAACTGGAGCAGCAGCTACAGTATGCAGACAATACCAACACACAATTGGCTTCGAGATGTACAGACAACTGTGCATCCGCTTCTCCATCCCATTGGGGACAAGATCCATAGGACACTTGACAAGATTGTTGAAGCCAACATTTGACAAGAACAACTTCGAAGAATCATTTTCCACATGGGAATTTGAGCTACAAAGATTTGAGCGAGACAATGGACA